GGGGACGCGTCGTCCTCGACAATCATGCGGTGCTTCGCAATGGCGGTTTGGCACACCTTCGACGACGTCACAAAGCAGCCGCAGCATTCGATGAGGAGTGTAATCAGCTGCCGTCGTTTCGGGCCCGGAAGCTTTGGGTCAATGTCGAGCTCGCTGGCAACATACTGTCTCGCTGAGGTGGCGAGGATTCGTTAGTAGTCGCAGCGATTTCGTTGGAGTTTTGGAGTTCCTCGACGTGACCCACGGCTGCACCTTTCGTGAGGTGTTGCGTTTCATTTTGGGAGTTCATCATGAAGACCACAGTCCGCCCATCTTGAAGTTCAGGTACTCCTTTTTCGACGCCTATTCCTCATCCTATAAGTAACTGGAGGCTTCCCTCGAGCAGAATTTCGCCGCCGAAAGCTTCGGTAATCCCGATGGGTACGAAAACACTCGACCACGGCGGTAAGTTCACGTGGCTTGCAAGGACTCGGACCGCGGATGATGTCGCTTTGGATTCCTCTGGTGGTGAAACAGGTTTTCGTAGCGTCAACCCGTTTGCTCCGAGGTCGATGACAGCGCCATACTCGCAGAGAAAGTCCATTCCGAGGATAACATCCCTCGCACAGTCTTGCAGAACTACGAACTTCACAGGGCATGTCTCCCCATGGATCTTGACGCGAGCAGTGCATCTTCTGACTGGTGTGATAAGGAGCCCACCGGCGGTTCATATTTGAGGGCCTTCCCACGGCATTGTCACTTTTTGCAAGCGACGAGAGAGCCTCCCACTCAAAATTGAGTAGCTTACTCCGGTGTCCGCGAGTGCCGATGTGTCGTGGCCGTCGATAATAACGTTTAGGTTGTTGGACACCGTTGCAGGAGCATCGTTGTGATGCGTAGCGTCGGGAGAGTGGGAGCGCACCGTCGTTTGTGTAGGCTCTTTACGTCGTCCGTCCATGACAACTTCACCTCCAGGAGTTGCCGCGCTTAGTCTTTCCAGCAAGACAAGGGCGACAGGCTCTCACAACGGGGTCGGTGCATCGGCGAAGCTGGACTTCGTGACGACGGAGACTGGGACCCGCGGCGAGGTGCAGGGGGGGGAGACCGAGGTTGTCGAAGGTACCCTTGGATTTCCCACGGTCGCTCACCGTAGCATGGGCGTGGGTCGTTTGAGTGGAAGCTACGGAGCCCTATTTGCCGGTAGGGGCAACGGCGGTAGATATGGTCGGCTTCCCCACAGGGGTAGCACAACGGGCGTTGGTCGGCCATCCTTTACACGTCAATCTTTCTTGGCGCAGCTTGTTCTGGGCAGACTTGCTCCGGATCTTCCTGGCATCGGGAATACTGTGGTGTTGGAGGTTCACGTCGGAAAGGCTCCATGTACGGACGGGGGCTGGTGGAGCTCGTCGGACCATTGCGACTTAGCTTAGAGCGGGCCCCTCCGGTGTTGTTACAATGGCAGGAGCCTCCAGTTGGATTGCCCGCTTAACTTATTCGTGGACAGCTTCGGCTATTGACAGTGAAGCCGGCTGGTTGGCAGCAGGCAAAAGCTTCCTTAGCTCTTCTCGGACGACGTCACGAGAAAGTTTGCGAATTCCAGTCAGGCTGGAGCTGTGGTCGGATCCCGATGGTGAGGGGGCAGCTACACCGGAGTGCCGCTGGTAGGGGGTTGCCCTTGCAAAGATGGCACGCCGCGTGTTTGTTGCCTCGGTTACGAATTGAACGGTCGTTGGTGGGTTGCACACGAGTCCACCAGAAATGTCGTCCTTCACGCCACACATCAGAATACGCAGCTTCTTTTCCTCAATGGCCTGAGGGTCGGCACGGGAGCTCAGGTGAAGGACGTCTTCCACAAAGCTCGTGATGCTCTCATTGGGCCCTGGGTTCTCGATTGCAGCAGATCTTCGGCCCTCTCTCTTCGGTGCTGGCTGGCGAACGTATGCATGAGCTCGGTCTTACAAAGGTCCCACGAAGTCAGGAAACCTTCGTGGTTTTTGAACCAGCGCCTTGCAGTTCCCTCAAGTGAAAAATAGAGGTTGTGCAGGCGCTGCTCATCAGTCCGCCCATTGTGGCGGGCAATGTGTTCGTACCGGTCGATCCAGTTTTCGACGTCTTTGTATTGTTCGCCGTAGAACGGAGCAGCCATCTGTGTTGCGACGGGCAGGTAAACGACGGCGGTGGCGGTCAGAGTCTGCGACGACTGGTGGTTCATCTTTGGCCTTGTTGGCTGCCTGGTCTTGGTTGGCAGAAGTCCGTATTTCAAGTGTAGGCCTTGGGTGCGGCGACTTAATCGGGTCTCGGTAGTGTCTTGGTTGGGTCTTCGTGTGCTTGGTGTCGGACTTGCACTGCGGGCCCCCGGAGACTTACGCTGCAGGGACATGCTTTACCCATCACCTCCACCATAATGTCACGAATGACGAGGTGACGAAACAATGAATGGCTGAGGAAGCTGAAACGTTTAATGGGGGTGAACTTGTGCCCAAAACAAAAAGTGAACAGAAGATAACAACAGAGCGTCGCGGGCGTCGAAGTCGGCGTAACAGCAGGATCGAACGCTGGGGCGAGACTGACTCCGGCTCGCCACGCGGAGCCCCTTCTGAACACACGTGGGCTTCTGGAACAGTTGGCGTAGAAGATTCGGCGTGTAGAACATTCTGTACCTGGAACATGCAACAGAGTTCTCGAATTTACCAGAACACTAAATTGCAAAAATAAATAAAAGATGCGTTGCTCCCAGGAATCGAACCCTGTCTCTTTGCGTAGGAGGCAAGGATGATAACCGTTAGCCCATGGCCGCGCTGCCTACTTGGCCAGCTACGCGCGCGGCAGTATGTGTTGCAAGATTGATGTGTTAATTTCCCTGGTTAGCTGCGTTCGTGGTCGCAGGTAGGCCACTGTTACGTGGAACCACTTCTTGAATGCTGTCACTCATCGGATCGTAAATCATAGCAGGATTGCCCAATTAAAAGCTTATTGTAATGTAACTTGTGTCTTGAGAAATACCAAATACCAAACGCGTTGCAAGACAGAAATCCTGATTCACAATGGCTCCTGTGGTTTTAAGCTTTAAGCAGGAGAATAACCCCTTTTCTTTAAATTTATACAAAGCAAATTTTACAATGATAGGTCTATATCTGCCCTGCGAAAATGGTTTCAATCTATGCGCTCGTTCAATGCTTTCAGGTGCAATCTCTGGTTGAACTGAACGACAAAGTATCTCAATAATTTTGCCTTTGGTTTGTGCCAGTGTCTCTGACCTTGCCTGAGTTACCTTGGGAAAAATTAAATTTGAGCGTCTTAACTAATCTTTGAAATCGTTCAAACTATCATGCAAAAAGAAAAATTATCTCCTTTCACACTTTGTAACACTTCCCGCGCCTCTGCAAAGTCATTGTCGATATCAGCTGTATTTGATTCGACGGATTCAATCCTGCCGACTTGTTAAAAAATTTTTTTTGAATGTCGTTTGATTTGTTTTTAATTTCGTTGACGGTTTGTGTTAATCTCGACTGTCCTTCCTCCAGTTGTGCTGAGCGCGCAGAAAGGTCTTGCAAGAAGGTAAACATATCAGCGAACTGCATCGCCTGAGCTTGAGACGTCGGGCCAGGATCAAGTTCGACGTCCCCAGCTAGTGGTAATAGGATAGTACATACAGAATAAACACACTCAACAAGCAGTTCTAGCAGCGTGCTGGGGCATGGCAGCGCAAGAAGGAAAATAATATTACTCTTAAATTCAATGTGACCTTTTTTACTAAGCTGCGCAATGACAGCAAGGCGGTTGGAAGGACATGATGCGAACTTTGCTGCCATGCCCATTCATAATCGGCGACATTATTTTGTTAGTTTTTATTTTTATAAACGATTTATTCGAAGATTGTGTATCGACAGGTGTGCCGCTTGTCGACAAGTGAAGACAAGTGCTTTGAAGTGGACCTGTTGCGGCCGCGATTGAGTGGATCGGGGGCTTAGTTGTTTGAAACATGTGGGTGAGGTTGCTTCGGTATTGGAAATTTAGCTTCATCTTATATTGGCAGGTAGTGGAAATTTTCATTTTAGCAGCTTTACTACACGGAGGTTGTGTGCTTATTCAGATATAAATGAAATTCACTCGTATTACGTCGGTCAACTTAATCTGCCGGATCTCCACAATCCTGTGGGAAATCGCGATCCAGAAAAACTGAGAAAACTAGCTTTTATACAAATTCCACCCGTGCCCAGTGGCGCGGAGTGGCTCTTTGGGTGGAACTGTGTCACATTTGGCCTGGAGGGGTTTTTGGCCTCTTGGGAGAACAGGCCATGCTGCAGGGCTCTCGGGATGGGGGGACCAAGGTGCTGCTTCAAAAGGCCAAATCGTTGCAGCAGTCGGAAGACTCAAAGGGCACCAAACACTTCCGGTTCCACCCGCGATCATTTTCCCGTTTTGAAAGCACCTTGGCGTCGGCTCTTGACAACTGTCAAGAGATGCGAGTAGCAGCTCGAAGTGCTCTCATGTGCGTGGCCAGCCACCTTCTACCGAACCTTTCGGGCTGGCTGGAGTGACACACATCCGGCAGCTCGTCGACGGTTGGTCTATCATTTATGTACTTGCTGCTCCGTGCTCGGTTACTTTCGGTCGTAGAGCTTCCAGCTCCATGTTGGACTTTTGGAAAAAGTAACCAAAGGTAACTGCGTCGAGCCTTGTCTTCGCATGATGGCCACGTAACAGGCTATTAGCTTTACTGTCTTTGGGAACTTCTGCAGCCACAAGTCGATCTGACGACGACAGCACTCGCATTTGCTCATGTTTTCTTTGCCAAAACTTCTACGACAAATCGCCAGGATCTTAACATCCGACGGCGTGACGTTCCGGCCCCCCATCGTAATTTTGCTGCCACCTCGGAACCACTTTTGACGCTTGGGTAATATAGGACACTTGACACGCCAATTGAAAACGTGTTCTAGGCACCACATCTTGGCTCTTGTACAGTTCATGCTCCAAGAAGCAGAATGCACGATGCCGAGGTGCTTTGTCCCTTGCAGGTCGGGTGAAGCAGGCGTCCAACTGTGCGCTGCTGGTGCTCATGCTGGGGGCGGTGTACACGCACGCGGCTCTCAAGGACCGCTTCGAGCGCATGGCCCCCTCCATCGTGTTTGTGCTGATGCTGGTCTGCCGCCTGGTGGTCTTCTACCAGGTCCAGAGCAGAGAGAAGGCGCGGGCGCCCGAGGCAGCGCGTCCCAAGGCCGACTGAAGGCGCACCGCCAGGACATCCGACCCCGTGGGCCTTGCCGCAAGTTTTCCCGACTCGTGCCGTGACATTCTCTTGACATTGCGTCGCCGTCGTTGGTCCGTGACACTTGTTTGTCGTTGTCCTTGTGCTACGACATGCTTGTGTCATTGTGCCATGACGGTTCCGTGACATTTTTTCCCATCGTACCATCGTAATTGTGCCATGATGTTTTGTTGACGTGTGCCGTGCCGTTCCTTGCTTCCGAGGGACAGCACCTTCCCCGTGGTCGAACATTTGTGGCTGAGACTGGATTTTACCCAATTGTTGCATTCCGAATGGGAATAGGAGTTTAGCCCTGCTTTCTTCCCAAATTAAGAGCGGGCTGCAGTGGAACCAGCGGGCAATAATTTACTTTTAAAACCGGCCTCCTGCGTTTGCGGAGTTCTTTGTTATTTACTTCTTTTTATTCTGGAGGTTTGCAGTCAAATGCCAATTTTCTTAAGCTTTTAGTTTCTAAACTGACATGGTGGCATAGCAGTTGTTTTGCTTTGGCCAAGACTGTTTGGCTGAAATGCTAAATCTAAAGGAAATGTGGACCTTCATCGTGCCGAGCAGGTCCTTGAAGCGTGGTGCATTATTTGTTTTCTTTGTTCTTCGGGCATGAGTCTCGTTTAGTCTTACAGATATTTAGCAGTTGTCGCTGCTGTTTTGAGAGACTCTTCCTTGAATGCACAAGATTTATTGTGTGAAATACTTCAAGGCAGTTAGTTCTTGTCTGAGATCTGCCATGGGCAGCTTTTTGGCAGAGACACCATAGATCTCAAGGAAGCAATCTCATTGTGACATAATTCCTAGTCAAGATAATTTTCTATTTTTTTTAACTGCATTATGTGGAAGTGTTACGATTGAAAGAAGCTCCAAAGTCTACGAACCATCCTGAAAAAGGATCAGTATTTGTTTAACTATTTTTATTAGGATCTTTGTTGCTCTTGGATCAAGTTATTTCAGATTTGTAGAAGTAGTATTTACTGACCAGAGTTGATAAAATTTCATTTGGGATGTTGAAAGATCCAAAGTCCTTGCTCTTGCATGCACATAAAAGAGCTTTGTTTGATGTTTTCCTCTATTTCTGAGAGCAGTTTTACTGACCCATGCCAGGCCAACTGCCCTCTCAATAATGTCTGCTACTATCGCAGCGTCGAATCTCCACTAAGAGTTGCCCCTTATTAATACTAATTTATTTATATAGAACTACTCATAAAATAAATAAGTCTTAGAAATCTTCCTAAAGTTGAAGTTTGTGCAAGTTGGTACTTGAAAATTAAAACAGCGCTGTTTTAATTCTCGACTTATAAATCTGTTTTTAGTTTATAGGAAGGAGGTGGCACCTTTTTAGAGACAAAAATGTTTTTTGGTTTGTAGACTAAAGTGGCCAATTGTCGACCATAATATTTTTTGAGCACGAAGAATAATATCACCATATTGTGAGTGAGCATTGGCAAAGATACCTGGGGAGTCATAAGAAAGACATGATGTGACATTCGACATACAAATTACTTCTCTGATGCTTGCTTTTTCAACTAGAAATAGGAAAAGGGTTTAAATAAGCCCAATGTTTCATGATTCTTATATATGCTCAAATCAAAATCTGATCGGAGAAGAGTTCCACTCCCTCTGAACTCTGATCTGAAAGAGTCCCAAATCATTTCTTACCTGTGAAAATATTGCAAGCAATCCATTTTTCATCCTAGCAAGCTGAAGTTGCCCCCAAAGTTGTATTTCAGTGTTAACCTCCACCTGATAAATTTACTTGATGCTACTCCACATTCCTGGAGCAAGTACTTTCTGCATTTTTGTATGACACAGACCATTTGAAGATTGAGACTGTTCACTCTAAATTTAAAAAAAAAACAAAAAATCAGGGTAGAGTTTTTTGTTTTTTTTTAGATTTCATTAGGCAAGGCCCTTTTTCAAAATAAAGCCAGTATCTATTACATTAATATGCCAAGTTTTCAGGTTGATTTTATGTTGTAAGGAATAGGTAGTTGAGAAAGCGTATAAATAATTTTTTTCTTTTGCATGTCTCACGATTTTGCCATTGATCTATCCAAAAAGTTAAAAATGTTTCCCTGAAAGCCTATAGTTATGAAACCCTAAGGGGGCTTCCGAGAGCTGCTAACCCCAAGCTCCGTGAAAAGGACAAAAAGAACCAAAGATGGCATAGATCTCCAAAGCTATGGCTGCGGCTATGTGCCACGTTGCTCTAAGGTTTTATGATACGCAAGGCGGATACATGATTTCCTATATGCAAATAAATGTATGAATGTGTACGTCACCAAAGAAAACCAAAGCTCATTAATCTGCTAACCCTGTCCTTTTTGACACACATGCCTGCCTGTTTTCTATTTTTATGTTTCTATTGTTTCTGTCAGTGACAGTAGAATTCAAGTTGGATAGCAGAGTTGTATAGAACTTGGCTCCAGAGACGGAGCTTGGTTCCATCTGCAAGATTTCGGACACTCTGCAGTGGAAGAGGTTATCGTCACTGACGGCTTTCAGGATGACTTTGAACAGCAGGAGACCATTCCTGAAGTACCGCATTTCCTCGCACGTAGTCCACACCGGTTTATGAAAAAAGCCCTGGTGTTTACTTTCTTGCGGGCATGCAGGAACTAATCACGGTGGCGGGCCAATGAAGATCAGTGAGCTCGAAGGCACAGAGAACGCATTTAGGACATGCCATCTGCTTAACTTTAGTTTCGGTTACTGAAGTTCGCATTAAGGGGACACACCCCCTGGGGGGGGTCAACTTTTGAACCCTTGTCTTAAAATTAATGAAATTTACAGGGTAGGCTGGTGGTCATGCTAGAGGGTGTATAACAAAATTTTAGGTCTGTTGGTTAAATGAGAAGGAAATTAGAGTAGCTTCTATCAGCAACATGCCTCCATTGTTTAGTTAATCTGTTGTCAGAAAACTATCGCCATATTCAAGATTTTATTTGCTAGATATGTAGCAGAATGCCTAGAGGGTGTGCCTATGGAACGTTTTTTCATAAAAGTCATTTCTTTCTATAAATTTTCTCTTCTCCAAAATTGGTCCATTTCTTGGTCTCCTCTGTCTTCGACAAAATGTCAACATTTTTTATAAAAGACATCCGTAAAGTGACAAGAACGTTCCATAGCTGCATTCATTATTAAATTTGAGTCAGGAAAAATGAAGAATGAGCCTTTTTTGTGTTGCCATTATCAAACGATAGAATGACTAAAATGGCATTTATACCAAAAAGTGGAATGGAGAAAAAGGTGTTCAAAATGCTCCAAACTCTACCTTTAGCTTTGATGGACAGAAACTAATTTATAAAAAATTAACTATGCAGTGTAAATTAATTAAACTTTTTGGGAATACTCTCGAGTTGTGAGAGGATGTAAATATGGCATTTTTCAAGATCAACTTTTTTTGCAGAATTTTTTTTTTCTGGGCAGTGTCTCCCCTTAAGCTAAAATACTGTCTTTGTGGCTAATAGTCCTGTTCTTTTCTTTTTTTTTATGGTGTGTATGGGAGACTTTATTGTCACCGCAGGAGCCCTTAAAAGTTTGTGGTGTGGTGCGTACTGTCTTCACTAAGCAAAAGTCTGAAATATGTACAATCTGCAAAAGAGTGCATCCATTCCCAATGATCTAAACTTTTTCCTGACGTTATGCCCAATCTTTGATATTGGGTTATGTCTGGTTTGTTCTGCGTCTGCGCACTCTTTATACTCCGCCTGTTCGCCTCCAGACGACGCTACTGAACCAGCGAAGGCAGAATCGGATATTATTCTTCGTGTCCCTTTTATCTTCATCGGTGCGAGGATTGCTACGTAACCTGCTGAGCTTAGTAGACCTGATTACAGCCGGCCTACAGGTGCATTGAACTTGCTGTTGTGCACATTGTTCTTGCAGCTTGCACTAGCAGTGCAAGCAGATGGTTCTTGGGGTGAGCAATCGTTCGTCGGAGGATGACTGACTACTGTGGAGGTGAGGAAGGCACCGGTCGGTGCGGCCACAGCCCCTGTTACTGTCATCTTCTCTTTGCACACATTCTCCCGTGGAGAAAGGTGCTTAGAGTGACCGCTGTATAGGAATTCTCAGGCACCACAATGCAGCTGATTCAAGCCTTGTTTCAAAGGGCTCCACTCAAGATGTAGCGTGATGCGCTTCTGCCAGCGCCACTGGCAGAGGTGCCATTGGCACGCTTGAGAGGACAGCCAATGCCATTGCATGCCTATGATTCCGTGCTTTTTGGATAAACCTGAAAAAACTTAGACAACTACCAGTAAAATTCTTTGTCACTTTGAATTCATCTGATAAACTCCAAATTTCAAAAACACAATGTAAAAAAATAAATATATAATCTACAAATATTCTACATGGTTCATTGGTGATCCTGACTAGAGACCACTCCAGTTCCCTTCCAAATATCGAACTATTCAGCAGAGGAGAAAGGCAATTATCTTCTCAAAGGTTTGTTGAGGCTTTTATACTCACAAGTACGACGACGGAGCCATAGAGTGCCCGGTCGCAGATTTGGAGTGCGTGGATGTGGTAGCACTGAGCATCAAAGAGCCATTTCTCGGGAAACCTGGACGTCAGCGCACAGCTTTTGCAGCAGTGAGGACCCGAAACACACTTGTTCGCTCGGGTGAAGTGTATTTCGGCGTCTCGCCGCAGCGGGGTGCCAGTCGTGTGGCCCTTCTTGTCTGCCGCTCCACCTTTTCTATTTCGGCGGCCACTTCTCGTGGTGATCCGCCAGGCTTTGTCAGTATATAGGAGGCTATGGTTCAGGACATCAGGTCGTTATACTCCTGGGCCACAACAAAAGCGTTCCAGTTTCTAGTTTGGACCCTAATATATCTGTGCTTCTTTGAGGGACAAGGTGTTCTGTTTTACAGGACTGAAAGCTATGTACTTGTGCATTCCATTGGAGTGAGGGGGGCAGTTGAAATTCCTTCAGCACTCGCCTCCACGCAAGGGACAGAGTGGTGGAAGTGGGAAGGAAACGAGTTTCCCAGAGACTACGTCAAGGAGTTCACTGATTCTAGACTATCAATGTCTATCGAAGCAACACTTTTCTGAAAATTTTATAGTTGGACAGTTATTAGTACCAAGCATTTGCATTGTATATAATACAATGCAAAAGCTTAGATCAAGAAAATGAAACCCAGTTTTTCGGCCAGCATAAACAAACTATGCGTCGCAGAAAGCTGGAACTCCCTTAAGAGGTCGCAAGAGTTCACACTCTTGCGACCTCTTAAACCTGGGTTCCTTAAAACTTCTTAAACCAGAGAACGCACTGGCGCCATCTATTGGGAAGCAGTGTAAACTTGGCGGTCCGGCATATTTTTTTTATTTCTCGCGCATTATCCTTTCTTTCTTGGCTCGAAAAACTTTTGTCAATGTTATAAACGAGCCTTTCTATGGGTATTACGCACATTTGACCTCGGAAATCCCGCAAAAGCTTCGCTCTTGTGAAATGCAGTTCCAGGGTCACCGCATAGATGGCGCCACAATGCCAGTGTGTTCTCTCATTCTAAAAACATTCAAGAAGTTTTAAGAGATCTCGTCTCTCTCAGTCGTACTCGGTCGCAAGAGTGTGAACGGGCCTTTAGAATGTGACACTAGCAATGTTGATAAATGCGAAAGTTTGAGCAAGTGACTTTGCCTAAATCAAAAGATACGAGAGAAAAGCATAAATTTTCTGAGTGCCAAAGTCCATCTGAGCCTTATATTTATCAAACCAAGAAATGACATTCTGGGTGCCTGTAGCATTTATTTTCGTGAATAAAAGTTGACCGAAAAGGAGAAAGCAATGTCGTCTTTCTCGCCGTCAAGCTTTTTTCGCTGGAATTAATGCTACAGGCGCCCACAACGTGATTCTTTGGCTCATTGAATGTTAGGCTTAGGTGCTTATCTGCTCATAGAGAAACTTTGTTTTTCTCTCGTGTCTTTTGATCCAGGTGACATCATGTTCTCACACTTTCGCATTTTGTCGCCACCTCCAGCATCTCATTCTCACGGAGTTTCAGCTTTCTGTGATGCGTAGTTAATTTTTGCAAGCCAGATACGCGCGTTTCGTTTTCTCTAGCTATTGAGCCCTGTACAACTGTGTGCCAAATACTCCCTGGTACAGGCATTACTGTTTACATGATCTCTGGGCTTTTGTACCACTTTATTGCATTAATGCCAAGACTGGGAGGGGCTCCCCGGCAATGCCCTCCCATAATGGGACTGAAAGTTTCCAGCCCAGAGACATACCCCAGGCCAAGAAACACAAAACCAGATCAGGCATAGAGTGTTGAGACAGTGTGAGGTCGGTCGGTGTTTCGTGATGTGGCAACATGTCGGAGCTTTAGCCAGCGCAATGTGAGTGCAAGCCTGGGTCCATAAACGTGCATCATGCAGTAGTGATCGCACTAATCCACGCCGGTACGACGCTCAGTCGGATCAGAACAGGCATGGACAGAGATCAAACCTAAGATTCCAGGATTCCGTAGGTTTATCCTTTGCTCGTTTTGCAGATTCCAGTGTAGCACTCTGCAAGCTGTGCTGCAGCATTAGCGCACAGGTTCCCCCGATGTAAGGGCCACGCTCGTGCATAATGAGGGACTCTGCACTTGCTTTTTTAAATGTTTGCAGCTGACGCCAGATAACGCAGTGAAACCTCAGTGTGTGACAATAAGCCACTTTCCATAAATCCGACGTTCGTTTTTTTAACACACCCGCACTATAGTGTTTTTTGAGATTGTTTATTTATGGTCATAATGCAGTCAATGGCCTTTGTGCGTTCTGAAAAAGTTTGAGGTTAGATTAATATGCGTCTGATTTCCCCATAAAAACGGGATTGAAGGTTGCGACACTGCTGTTTGTCTGCAATTCTGAACAAAAACCAGATGGTGCTGTCAAATGTGCAAGAGCCAATTGCAAACAACAGATCGCGATGGACCAGTGTTTTGTCAATCTGTCTTTGAGCAGTGCACTCGGTTGTTCTTGGCTTTCTGTAGCACTTTCAGCCAATTCACCCGCAATGCGTATAGTTGAACGAAGTGCCAACGTGAGACTAAGAGAAGTTGAGTTTGATCCGTAGTGTCTGGAGCAAGTTTCCCAAGATTCTTGCTGCCAGAGGAAGCACTCCTTTGGTGATTTATGATTTAAGACAACCCTGAGACAGGGGAAACGAGGAGGACAGACACGACGAAGTCTCAACTATTACTCTACTACTACTCAACTCTGCTACTTTGGTAACTGCTGTTTCCGAAAGGGGTCTTTTCTTCGAATTCATTATAGGAATAATGATGGGTGCAGTGGTTGTCAGCATTTTTACCAGTTGTTTTGCAGTAACTGGATAGGCACCCGCCTTCATTCGTAGACAAAGAAAAGCATTTGTTCACGCGTCGTTTTGTATACTAATGTGCGTAGTCTGTCATGAAACATGGAGCCTCTTTTTTGTTGTGCAAGAAGAACCCAGTCATGTATTCTTGCAGTATTCAATGGCACAATCACTGCGAGTGTATATTATATGCTGATTCACCAACATGTCATTGCGTAAGTTAATTGCCATCAGCATTCTTCTCTTCTGTTCCATCATCTGACGAGTGAAACTTGCCTATTTGTTTTCTGCTTGCTTCAGAAATTCAAGCTTAACTGTGAACGTCCTAGCTTAGCATTTAGCCTGTTTACATTTGTAGAAAAAATGTGACTTGTACCATGTGACGTGTAAATACATGCGGAACTTCAATTTAGTATTTTTTTCAAGTCACGCTAGCTGACATTATGTCCAACTAAAGTTGATCTGAAAGATGCAATTAATACCAAAGCATGTTATGGAGTGTCATTACTTTTTCCCTTTGTGGCAGTCCTTATTTGTGTCAGTGTTGACTATCTGCTGATTGTAATGATCAAGTAAGGTGACCTTTCTAGTATGTTGAGTACTATGGCTGCTTTATAATTTTATTATTGTCTAGTAATGGGCATAAATTCTTCAATTCATTTTAGGGGTGCACGAATATTTGACTTCTGAATTTGAGCCGAATAGAGATCGACCAAATGATTCACTCGACTTTCGAATTCCTAGTATTTGAGTTCTTGAATAATTCGATTAATCGAATTTTAGAACTTACGGTTTATTTTAGGAATTCCGGTTTATTTATGCTGCTAATAGGGTGAAACAGTGCTCACAGGCCTGTCTGGGAACTAAATGAAGCCTGCACTCAGAAGCCTTCAGTAACAAACAATTTCTGCGAAACATGGTTTGTTTCTTGTGTCCCTGAAACGAAGCAGTCATGCTTTTATAGCTTCTTGGATGCGCTCAACAAACCTGTAACCATGCACGTCGCCTTTTTGAAGCTGCAGTTTCACTCGGTTATTATGTCTTTAATATGACAAAATATTGTCAAAAAACAAACGGCAGCAGTAATCGAGCTTGCCTCTTCCGCTAACCCTTTGCTCCCCACTGCGTCAAGCGAGGTGCCAGGGCTAGGTGGCGCAAGATGTCACTTGATTCAAACGGTTCAGC